GCCGGTGCAGCGGTTCCGCCGGCACCTCGGCGCGGCAGCTCTCGGAGCAGAGTAAACAGGTTCGGAGGACCCACAAGAGCCCCCAGCAGGACACCAGAGCCCCGCGCAGCGGCTGTGACAGCACCTCGGTGCGGCAGCGCTCGGCTCAGAGTAAACAGGACCGGTTCCCCTTCTGACCAAGGTTTGGAGCCCCAGGAAGGCAGAGTCGCCTACTACAGACACAAGAAGGAAGCCAGACAGGAGAATCCTGGGCAGAAAAGCACCATCAGTTTTAACTCCGCTTCTCTGGTTCTGGGAACTAACAACCTGGACGCCCACTCAAGAGACCTAATCTGAAAGTTGGTAAATTCAAAGATGGCAGGAGGATAAATTTACAATGACGAGAAGAAACCAGCATAAAAAAGCTGAGAATACTCAAAATCAGAACGCCTCTCCCTCTAAAGATGATCACAGTTCCACATCAACAATGGAACAAGGCTTGATGGAGAATGAGCGCATCCCAATGACAGAATCACTCTTCAAGGAATGGATAATAACAAACTTTGGTGAGTTAAAAGAACACATTGTAGCTCAAAGTAAAGAAACTAGGAACTTTGAAAAAAGGTTTGATGAAATCCTATTGAGAATAGACAACTTAGAGAGGAGTATGAGTGAATTAATGGAACTGAAGAATACAATACAGGAACTCCGAGAAGTATGCCCAGGTTTAAACACTCGAATTGTTCAAGCAGAAGAAAGGATATCAGAGGTCAAAGTCCAACTTAATGAAATAAAACGTGAAGAAAAGATTAGAGAAAAAAGGATAAAAAGGAATGAGCAAAGTCTCCAAGAAATGTGGGACTATGTGAAAAGACCAAATTTACGTTTGGTAGGTGTACCTGAATGCAACGGAGAGAATGAATCCAAGCTGGAAAATACCCTTCAGGATATTATTCAGGAAAATTTTCCTAAACTAGCAAAGCAGGTCAACATTCAACCCCAGGTAATACAGAGAACACCACAAAGATATTCCTCAAGAAGAGCAACCCCAAGGCACATAATCATTAGATTCACCAGGGTTGAAACGAAGGAGAAAATACTAAGGGCAGCCAGAGAGAAAGGTCAGGTTACCCACAAAGGCAAGCCTATCAGACTTACAGCAGATCTCTCAGCAGAAACCCTACAAGCCAGAAGAGAGTGGGGGCCAATATTCAACATCCTCAAAGAACAGAACCTTCAGTCCAGAATTTCATATCCAGCCAAACTAAGCTTCACAACTGAAGGAAAAATAAAATCTTTTATGAACAAGCAAGAACTCAGAGATTTTATTACCACCAGGCCTGCTTTACAAGAGCTTCTGAAAGAAGCATTACACACAGAAAGAAACAACCAGTATTAGCCTTTCTAAAAATAAACCAAAAAGTAAAGAGCAACAACATAAAGAAGAATTTACACCAACGAATGGATAAAACAGCCAGTCAACATCAAATGGCAGTAACCCTAAATTTAAATAGACTAAATCCCCCAATCAAAAGACACAGCCAAAACCCAATGGCATGTTACATCCAGACCTGTTTCACATGCAAGACTCAAAACAAAGGGATGGAGAAAGATTTACCAACCAAATGGAGAGCAAAAATAAATAATAAATAAATAAAAAGCAGGAGTTGCAATTCTCGTATTGGAGAAAATAGATTTTAAAGCAACAAAGATATAGTGTTAAAAGGATCAATGCAACAACAAGAGCTAACGATCCTAACACCCAGATACGAGACTTAGATTCAATGAGACAGAAAATTAATAAGGATATCAAGGACTCGAACTCAGATCCGGAACAAGTAAACTTAATAAATATTTATAGAGCTCTCCACTTCAAATACACAAAATATACATTCTTGTCAATACCACATCACACCTACCCATAAGTTTAAATGAAACATTGATTGGCCATTATTAATACTCAATTTTTTTCAAAATAAAGCAATATTTCCATTTACTCTCCCTCTTTCTCTTCCTCTTTCTTCCTCTCCTTTACTTACTTTTTTTTTCTTTCCTTCTCTCAAAAAAAAAAAGAAATCAACTTGTAAACCTCTAGATCCAGGTTGGCAATGTCTCTCTCATTGCTTGATTTCCTTCCTTCCCTTCCCTCCCTCCCTCCCCGCTTCCTCCCTTCCTTCCTTCCTTTATCCCTTCCTTCCTCCCTACCGTCCTTCTTCCCTCCCTTCCTGCCTTCCTCCCCCCCACCAAACAAGAAAAAAAAACATCTCATGTACTCATCAATACATACACCAGGCCGGGCAGAGTGGCTCATGCTCAGCACTCTGGGAGGCCAAGCAGACGGATCACTCGAGCTCAGGAGTTGGAAGCCAGACTGAGTAACATAGTGAGACCCTGTCTCTACTAAAAATAAAAAAAAGTCAGGTGTGGTGGTGCAGAGAGCTGAGATGAAGACTGACATGAGTCATGATCATGCCACTGCACTCCAGGCTGGGCAACAGAGCAAGACCCTCTCTCTCTCTCTCTCTCTCTCTCTCTCTCTCTCTCTCTCTCACACACACACACACACACACACACATCTATACATACATACCTAAATTTGTGTATATAATTTTATATAATAATTTACATATTACATATAATTCATTGTATAGTTTTTTTTTCCGAGACAGAGTCTGACTCTGTTGCCCAGGCTGGAGTGCAATGGTGCAATCTTGGCTCACTGCAACCTCCAACTCCCAGGTTCAAGTGATTCTCCTGCCTCAGCCTCCTGAGTAGCTGGGACTACAGGCACATGCCACCATGCCTGGCTAATTTTTATATTTTTAGTAGAGACGAGGTTTCACCACGTTGGCCAGGATGGTCTCAATATCTTGACCTCGTGATCCACCCGCCTCGGCCTCCCAAAATGCTGGGATTACAGGCGTGAGCCACCTCGCCCAGGTATATGCCTACTTTAAAGCAGAGCATCCACTTGACGCTGGAATAATTCAGTTTAGCAACTAATTCATCAAAAATGTTCTTTTAAAGAAGAGGGGGAATGTGAAGGGTGGCCTGTTTTCTGCGGATTGTGCTTTAATGCCAAGTGCCCCTGCCCACTGGCTGTGCAGCCCTGAGGATGTCACTCAACACCCCTGAGCCTCAGTGTCTTCATCTGTAAAACCAGCAACAGCATAACGCCACTCAACTCCCAGTTACCAGGGAAACACATGACAGTGCCAGTAAGAGAGTAAAGAAAACCGCTTGCTGGGACCCAGGCAAAGGGAACCGTTGTCATCTGGGGTGGGGCGGGGTGTGCGTGCATGAAGCCCCAGTACCTGATTTACACGAGGGCATGTCAGCAAAGCAGCAGAGCCAGGAACTGGATGACGGAGACGGTGACTACATAGCGTGGAGCCCCCAGCCCATCTTCAAGTGTGGTCCAGGCTGTGCGTCCGGGTGAGATGACCTCAGGAACCAACCTCCTTGGAAGGGAATCCATCCTAAACCCAGCTGTCTGACTAACTGTGGGGTTCCCACGTTACTGATGCCGTAGACACACAAAACATCCCCGTCCCCAGCACAGAACTGTTCCCACTACCTTGTCCTCGTTAAATCTAAACCCTATTATTGGGCCAAGTCATTTTTAAACAGGCCAAATTTCCCATTCTATCAGATAAAGTGGCACAGAAGAAAAGCTTCCTAAGAATATCCATCATCCCAATTAATTCGCCCTTAAGAGCCTATTCCATATTCTCCACACATTTTACAATCTCGCAAAACCTAAACTATTCACCAACAAATAGGCTGTACCGCCACAACTGCACAGAAGGTTTGTATCATCAAAACCGAATCTGCAAGTTTCACATCCTATAAGCAAACAACTGTAACCGGAAGCTGTGAGCAATCCAAGCCCTCCTATATCACAGAATCACAGCCAACCTCGGAAACGAAACAAATCAGAAAGTTAACTTGTTAATTCTTCCAGGGCTCCCGTGGCAATGCTGTGTCCTAATAACTCACTGTTTAAATAGCTCCTCTGAAACTGACTCAAGCAGCGAGCCAATCCGAGCTCTTCCTGGCCGTGGTCTTATAAATAAGGTCACCTGCCTGCACCAGCACCCTTTGATGCATGGTCAGGCAAACCTCAAAGAGCCACTGGGGGACCTTTATTGTTCCCCCAGCCCCCGCCAAGTGCTTCTTTCTCTTCTGTGTCTTCCAATTTCAACACATTCTATTAGTACGCCCCCCCCAGCACCACAGGCCAGCCCTGGCCCTCCGGGTCAGAGGCATGGAGGACCTGCCAAGCATCTGACCACGGAGCCAAGGTTTCATCTCCCTTTTGTGCACCTCCAGCCCCAGGGCCGGCAAGCAAGCTACCCACACTGGCTCCACCACTAACTGGGCAGGCCTCTTCAACAGCTCCCAAATTACAAGCCCGTGTCCAGGAGCAGAAGCCAAGATGAGATGAGGCTATGCTTTTCAAAGAGCTTACCCAAAGCCCTGCACACAGCCGCCCAACTGTTATTATCTCGAGGAGACAGAAAAGCAAGACCAAGGGGACACCAGCTACATCACAGGGTGACTCGGGCCGTCTGACAATCTCCAACGGTGCCACTCTGGAATTAATTGGCACATGGAAGGGGCAGTGATCTCTGATCTTCCCAGAGAGCCCTGTGGCTGGCTGATGAAAGAGCATACACAAGCAAATCCTGTGACCCAGATCACCCGGAGGCCACATTTTAATAGCTGTACTCAGGAGCCACTAGCTTGCTGAGGAAGGCGCTGAGCCCTGGTCTTGAACTTGGAGAAGCGCGGGCCTTTTCCCAAGAAAATGCTGACAGATGTAGCGCGGTGCCTCTCCCCCAGGTGGGCCTAAGTGGGGCGCTTGCCCCAACCTCTAACTGGAGGCAACAAATCCTTGCAGAGCTCCCCACACCCGGCCCAAATGCACCCCGGCATGCCAGGCAAGGCCCTCGGTGGGTTCCTGAGGTTCTCCAGGCGGCCCATCCAGAACCGCTCTTCCAGCCCGAACGGCCACTCACCAGACACGGACACCTCGGGGATGAGCGCCTCCAGTGGCCGCTTGTTGTCCAGGTCCCGGCTGAGCGGCAGCTCGCCCGCGGTGGGGTCCAGTAGCAACAGGTGCAGTTCGTTGCCAGGAAGGAAGGTGTAGTTGAGGCTGTCCGACAGGTCGGGGTCATGGGCTGGGATGCAGCCGATCACGCCGGTGGGGAAGCTGTTCGACCTGTTGGTGACAGAGTTGTTGAAGAGGATCTGGAAGTTGGGCAGTACCGGAGGGTTGTCATTCTGGTCCACAAGAAGAATGCGCACCTTGGCTTGGCTCACCAGCGGGGCCGACGTGGCCTGCACCACCAGCACGTACTCCCGCCGGACCTCAAAGTCCAGCTCCACCAGGGCACGCAGGTCCCCGTTCAGCAGGTCCAGCTGGAAGAAATGCCGCAAGTCACCCTCCATAATCTGATACATGATCTGGGCATTGGGGCCTTCGTCAGGGTCCTGAGCACGGATCTTTGCCACCACCGACCCCCCCGGGTTGTTCTCCTCTACAAACAGCTCCAGCTCGTCCTTCTCAAACATGGGGGCATTGTCATTAATGTCCAAGATGGTAACCTGGATTTCCACCGAGGCACTAAGGGCAGTGGGGCTGCCGTGATCCACAGCCACAGTCCAAAGGTTGTACACGGCCACGTTCTCCCGGTCCAGCCGGCGCTGGGTGTGGATGACACCAGACGTGGGCTCGATGTAGAAGTCCCGTCGCCATTGTCCCCACCCTGGAAGATGTACAGCAAATGCCGATTGGGACCCGAGTCCCGGTCCGTGGCAGAGACCTGGAGGATGCTGGTTGAGGGTGGAGCATCCTCAAAGATGGAACCCTGGTAGAAATCCCACAGGAACTGGGGCGCGTTGTCGTTGGCATCGAGGATGAGGATCTCCAGGGTGGTGGTGTCCGACTTCTGCGAGATGCCGTTGTCCAGGGCCATGATGGTCAGCGTGTAGGCGACCTGGTGCTCATAGTCCAGCTCCATCATGGTGTACATGGTGCCACTGTCGGGATCAATGCGGAACTGCGGCACTGGGTCCTGAATCACGTAGGTGATGCGAGCGTTCTCTCCTGTGTCCTCGTTGGCACTGAGGGTAGCAATGGAGGTGCCCACAGGCCTGTCGTCACTGACGCTCACCGTGTAATGGGAGCTCTGAAAGACCGGCCAGTGGGTGTTGGCGTTGGTGACGTTGATGAGGACATGCGCCGTGTGCGACCCTGTGCCGTCGGATGCTGTCACCGCCAGCACGTACTGCTGCTCCTACTTGTAGTCCAGAGATAGCGCCAGGGTGATGAGGCTGCCTGCCCTCTGGCTGCTGAGCGCGAACCAGTTCTGGGTGTTGCTGCCCGTGAGCTGATAGGTGATCACGGCGTCGTGGTCGCAGGCCTGCAGGGTCAGCACGCTGCTCCCCATGTTTGCATCCTTGTTCAGACGCAGCTCATAGGTGGGCTGCGTGAACACCGGGTCGTTGTCGTTCACGTCCAGCACTGTGATGGAGCCACTGGTGGAGGAGCTCATGGGGGGCGAGCCGTGGTCCACCGCCTCCACCCCAAAGCTGTAATGCTCCACCTCCTCACGGTCCAGCTCGGCACACAAAGTGATCCAACCGGAGCTGTTGTGGATCTGGAAGGGGAAGTCCGGGGCCGGGACAGGGTTCTTAGGCCCAGTGCTGCCGCCCCCCAAGAAAGGCGGAGGCCGTGTCCACCAGGCGATAGTGCAGCCGGGCATTCTCCCCAGAGTCCGCGTCCACCGCCTGAATGTGCACCACGAAGTAGCCCAGGGGCACGTTCTCCAGCACCGTGGCCTGGAAGGGGCTGCTCACAAAGATGGGCTCATTGTCATTGACATGCAGCACCTGCACAGACACAACCCCGGAGGAATTGATGAGCGGTGGCCGGCCCCCATCCTGGGCTTTGATGCTCAGCGAGTACTTCTGGACATCCTCGAAATCCAGGGGGTTGATCTCATCCAGGATCCGGCTCAGTGAGTGCAGGTAGAAATGCCAGGCCACGTTCCCGCTGAGGAGGCTGTAGTGAATGGCCATGTTCTGGCCCTGGTCCCAGTCCGAGGCCTGCACGCGCAGCACAGCCGTGTTGAGACCCACGTCCTTGGGCACCTGGACCACGTAGTTCTGCTTGCTGAACTGGGGGTAGTTGTCATTCTCGTCCTCCACGGTGGCCGTGGAGCTGAGGGGGCCCGGGTTGCGGCCCTGGTCGCTGGCCTCCACCAGCAGGTGGTACTCGGCCGCCTCCTCCCGGTCATGCACCGCGCGCGTGCTCACCACGCCGGAGCTCACGTTCAGCTGGAAGATGTCGCACGCGCCCACCCAGCATGCGGTAGCACATGTTGGCGTTGACGGGCGAGTCGTCGCTGGCGCGGATGGTCAGCACCTTGTAGCCCACCTCGAGATTCTCCCGCACGCGCTCCTGGTACTCCGACTGCTCGAAGACCGGGCTGCGGTCGTTGGTGTCTTACACCAATACGGTGATGCAGGTGGTGGCCTAGCGCGGCGGCGTGCTGTAGTCCACGGCTTTTACCCTGAGCACGTGCGTCTCCTTGGTCTCGCGGTCCATGCTCACTGCCCCGTGGCGGAGCCGATGCGGAAGTAGCCGCGGGAGCGCTAGTAGAACAGCCCCTCCATGTAATAGCTCACGCGCTGCTCCTCGCCCTCGATGGTGTAGTGCGGTGAAGCTGGAGGAGGGGGTGCCCGCCGGCTCCTCAAACAACGCCACCTGGTAGTTGGGCATCGGGAACTTCAGGCTCCCTCTGCCGCTCGTGCCCCGCCGGGACCGTCGCACTGGCCCCGCCCGGGTTTGGGGCAAGTTCGGCGGTGGCGGTGGCGATGGTGATGGCGACACGAAGGGTGTCCCCGAGGCGGCGGCCGCGCTTCGCAGGGCGCACAACAGACGCAGACAGATGGGGCGGCCGGGACAGCAGGGCCCGGGACGCGGTGGGCAGCTGCAGGCGGGGACGGTGGTCGGAGCTGCGAGCACTGAACGTTGCGCGGCCGCGCCACCACCGGACACCGGGAAGCAGAGCACCCGATAGAGCCCAGGCCCTGGGAGCACAGCCCGCGCGCGCCGGGCACGGGCTCGGCAGCCGGAGGCTCAGCGCCGTCGGGGCACCGCGGGCCTCCAAGCAGACTTGCAGCAGCAGCGGGCGCCCGGCCAGGTGCATGCAGCTCGGGGCCCGACGCCCGAAACGCGCCGCCGTCCTGCCAGCCGCCCCTCGCGGCCCACGTCCAACAGCTCCCGGGGCATTTGCGCGGCGCCCACCGCGTAGGTACGGCTGGGCCGAGGGTGGAGGCGCGGGCCCCCGCCAGGGACGCGCAGCTCCCAGGCGGCGGCTCACAGCCCCAGCGCCGGCAGGGCGGCGGCCAGGCGCAGCAGTATGGGCGGCGGCGGCGGCGGCGGCGGCAGCGGCGCCATGGCTCGGAGCCCGAGCCCGCCGGGCGCCCAAACACAATCCACGCACCCGCCGCGCCTCCGCATCCACCCAGCGCGTCCGGGGAGCGGCTCCCGCGCGCCCGGCGCCCAGCCCTCAGGGCGGGCCGCGTCCCGCCTCCCCGGGGGTCCTGGCGGGGACTGTGGGGACTGCGCGCCCGGCCTCCCCCGCAGCTTCCACTTCGAGAGAACTTTGTGAAAGTTCGCGAAGTTGGTTTCAAGATGGCTCCTCTGCGCGTCCCGGGAGGGCGTCGCGCATCAAAGTGTGGCGGCGGCTCCAGGTGGCTCCGGCGCGGGCCACTGCGCCTGGTCTTAGGTTTAGTCTTTTCACATAGCCCCGTATTTCTTGGAGGCTTTGTTCATTCCGTTTCATTATTTTTTCTTTTTCTTTCTTTTTTTTTTTTTTGAGACGGAGTTTCGCTCTTGTTACCCAGGCTGGAGTGCAATGGCGCGATCTCGGCCCACCGCAACCTGCGCCTCCTGGGTTCAGGCAATTCTCCTGCCTCAGCCTCCTGAGGCGCTGGGATTACATGGCCAGCTAATTTTTTGTATTTTTAGTAGAGACGGGGTTTCACCATGTCGACCAAAATGGTCTGGATCTCTTGACCTCCTGATCCACCCGCCTCGGCCTCCCAAAGTGCTGGGATTACAGGCTTGAGCCACCACGCCCGGCCGCTCATTATTTTTTCTCTAATCCTGTCTTCATGCTTTATATCAGTAAGTTGCTCTTCAGTCTCTGATATCTTTTCTTCTGCTTGATTTATTTGGCTATTGATAGTTGCGTATACTTCACAAAGTTCTTGTGCCATGTTTTTCATCAGGTCATTTGTGTTCTCTAAACTGGTTATTCTAGTTAGCTTTTCCCATAACCTTTTATCAAGGTTCTTGGCTTCCTTGCATTAAATCAGAATGTGCTCCTTTAGCTCAGAGTAGTTTATTATTTGCCACCTTCTGTAGCCTACTTCTGTCAATTTGCCAGTCTGATTCTCTGTCCAGTTTTGTGCCCTTGCTGAAGAACAGTTGCAATCATTTGGAGGAAAAGAGGCATTCTGGATTTCGGAATTATCAGCATGTTTGTGCTGGGTTTTCGTTATCTTTGTGTATTTATCTACTTTCGATCTTGAGGCCGAGGACCTTTGGATGGGGTTTTTGTGTGGGATTCCTCTTTGTTGATGTTGATGTTGCTTTCTGATGGGTAGTTTTTGCCCTCTTCTGCAGGTCTGCTGCAGTTGGTTGGAGATCCAGTCTAGACCTTGTTTGCCTGGATATCACCAGTGGAGTCTGCAGAGCAACAAAAGATTTTTGCTTGCTTTTTCCTTGGGAAGGTTTATCTCAGAGGTGTACCAGGCTGATTCCAGCCAGAATGCTCTTGTAATGAGGTATCTGTCAACCTCTGTTGGGAGGTCTTAAATAATATACCAAAAGCATAATTAAAAAAAAAAATTGGGCCAGGCGCGGTGGCTCATGCCTGTAATCCCAACACTTTGGGAGGCCGAGGCGGGTGGATCATGAGGTCAAGAGATCGAGACTATCCTGGTCAACATGGTGAAACCCCGTCTCTACTAAAAATACAAAAAATTAGCTGGGCATGGTAGCATGTGCCTGTAGTCCCAGCTACTCAGGAGGCTGAGGCAGGAGAATTGCCTGAACCCAGGAGGCGGAGGTTTTGGTGAGCCGAGATCGCACCATTGCACTCCAGCCTGGGTAACAAGAGTGAAATTCCGTCTCAAAAAAAAAGAAAAGAAAAAAAATTGAACTTCATCAAATTGAAAAACATATGTTTTTCAAATAACACCAGAAAGAATCTAAAATCTGAACTTCATAATGAAATAAAATACTTCAAATTATGTATCTGATTAGGCTTTCGTAGCCAGAAAATAAAAAACAAAACAAGACAAAACATGCCAATAATAAAAGGAGAAATTACCAATTTAAAAAATGGACAAGGGGCTTAAATTTACATTTCACCAAAGAAGATACACAAATTGCCAATAAGGACATAAAAATATGCCTATAAGTTTGTTATTAGGAAAATTAAAGTCAAAGCACAAGATAATACATGCTAGAATGGCTGTAATAAAGAGACAGTAACGAGTGTTGGCAAATGTGGAAAATACGGAATTTCCATGCATTGAAGGTGGAAAGGTTAAATAGTGCAGCCATTTTGCAAAATAGGCAATTCCTCAAAATGTTACTGATAAAGTTACTTATGACCCAGAAATTCACCTTCAGGCATGTATGCAAAATGAATAAAAATCTAAATCACACAAATTCTTGTATGTGAATTCTCATAACAGCAATATTTATAAGAGCCAAAAGAGAATACTGTCTGAATATCCATCAGCTAGTGAAGTGATAGCCATCCATTAGTGAAGAAGAAGGATCCACCGTCTGAATCTGAAATTGGGGCTGCCATTGACAAACCTCCCCTTCCCCCCACCCCCGACCCCTTCCTCCACTGGAGGCCCTAAGCTTGCATGGTGAGGAAAAGGTTATCAGGTGGTAGAACTGGATCCTGGTCTGAACCCAGAAGATGATCTGGCCCAGTAGATGGAAGTGTGGACTTTTAGGAAGAGGAGGAGGAAGGGTGCAGTGAGGAGAGCTGGATTCTGGAACCCCATGTGTGATTTATCTCAGGGATGCAAGGGTGGTTGTAAAAAATCAATCCATACGGTAAATCACACAAATAGAATGAAGGACAAACATTATATAAGAATTTAAATAAATGCTGAAAAAGCATTTGATAAAATTCAACATCCCGTCATGATTAAAAACCCTCAAAAACTGGGTACAGAAAGAATATTTATTAACATAATAAAAGCCATATATGACATAACAGTATCATACTGTATATGGAAACACTGAAATCCCCTTCTCTAAGATCTGGAACATGAACAGGATCAGAAGTGAGCGGTCTGGGGCTCACAAGGACTTGCCCATTCCATAACAGGAGAAGCTTAGAGATGAAGAATTCAGTGGGCTTCTGCTGTTGCCTTTGCAACAGGATCAGGTGACTCCTTTGTCGGTGGGGGTAGGGGATCCTGATTTTTCTCTGAGACTCATATTGGGGCCAGAAATTGATGACAGAAAAACTCAGTTCTGCCGAAATATTTTAAAAGATTTATTTTGAGCTAAGTAAAATCATAAATCAATACATAGAAGATATATATTGGTTTGGCTTTAAAAAGGGGGGTACATCTTGAAGCAGGGGCTTATAAGTCATAAGTGGGTTTAGGAATTCTTTAGTGGGCAATTGCTTGCAAAAATTAAGTTTTTAGGGTTTTTTTGTTTTTTTGAGACGGAGTTTCGCTCTTGTTACCCAGGCTGGAGTGCAATGGCGCGACTCGGCTCACCGCAACCTCCGCCTCCAGGGTTCAGGCAATTCTCCTGCCTCAGCCTCCCGAGTAGCTGGGATTACAGGCACGCGCCACCATGGCCAGCTATTTTTGTATTTTTAGTAGAGACCGGGTTTCACCATGTTGACCAGGATGGTCTCGATCTCTTGACCTCGTGATCCACCCGCCTCAGCCTCCCAAAGTGCTGGGATTACAGGCTTGAGCCACCGCGCCCAGCCAATGAAAACTTTCAAACACTGAACATTATCTATGTTGTGTAATTTAAAAAGGCATATATCTTCTCACTAGTAGTAATACACTTGGGGGTTTGGTAATAGATTTGGGTATTGAAATTGGCTGTGAATGAGTGCGGAAAGTGTAGCTTTAGCATTGGCAATAGGCTACCTCCGGGAGGCCCAGAGAACCAAACGCGGAAGCCGGAACCGGAACTCAGAGCCCAGCAGGAACCCGAACCCGCCCTCGCCTGCGCGCCTGCGCCCAGGTCCTGCCCTCCCTATGAGCTGTGCCCTCCGCTCCACAGTCCCAAGAAGCTGCAAGCCCCCCACACCTCACCTTCAGCTGCGCCCTCCCGCCCTGTCTCCCCCACCCTCACCGTGAGCTACGGCCCCCATTTCCCTGCCTTCGCCCTCGCCCTCGCCCTCCCGGTAGCTGTGGCCGTCTGACCCGACATCTCTACCTTAGTCCTCGTGACCCGGAAGTGACCCTGCCGGCGGCAACATGGGTGGCGGCTATGTCCTGTGCAGCGGCTGGCTGAGGAAGTCGCCCCCCCCAAGG